CAACGTCGTGTTGTGGTTGATTCCAACATTCCACCCCCATCATCGCGCTCGAGTGCCTTACTCTTCCCTTGAATTATCGATGGATTCGATCACATGCGTGCGAGAGCAAGGGATACGCCCCGACGGCCCCCTTTTCTGGCTTTAGTCGAATAGTCGAACCTCACAGATCGACTTCATTTTGCACTCGTAGAGCGGAAATGGACTTTAGCTGCGTCTAGGCGTGTAGGCATGGAGAAGTGTGTGACAATCGTCCTCGAGCCTTCGACAGCCGGTCTTCCCGTCAATCCCATCGACCATGAGCTTCTTTCTGATAGGATTGGGTCCTGGCGGAATCATCAGGAAAGGACAGCTTTGACAGATCGTCCACAGGCTTCCACCAAGAACTTACCCTCCTCAACGCCTTAGTGCTAACGCAAAGAGTCTGCTTCAGCCATGCATCGTCGATTTGTACAGCTCTATTAGGTATCCAACCGCATAGAATGAAGCCCCCAGCCCCTGTCCTCGAGAAAACGGTCCCGCATGAGGCATCGTCGGTTAGTGACCTGTCATATTACTACTATTGGCCGCTCTCCCACGGGGTGCGCTCCGAAGTTGCAGCCAATGACAATGAGATTCGGGGCTGTGCCTCCGGGAGTATCGATGATTACATTTACGACACATTCCAACCAAAATACTACAGGCTTCAACCCTCCTGACGATGTATCATCACCCCATATCTATCTATCTAGACTATAAGTGGCGTTCCCGACATACAAGATGAGCGTAGCAACCGGCCCCCCCCCCCTGAAATACAACGCTCGCCTACTTACATCCTAGCCCAGCCACCTATGTGGGGACTCGCCCTTCCCCCGAACGCGTTGGCATCGCCATTCTGATGGCTTCGCTCGGGGCCTGGGCATTCGCGGTGCACCGTATCTTCTCCCGGCTCGAATAGATAGAGAACAACGTTTCTCTGTTGCTTGACGAAGGAAGCTCGAACTCGCTGCTAGGCGGAGTCACGTCCTCGCCCACCACCTTTATGTCTAGGCTGGCCACGTCTCGCGGATCGACAAAAGTGCCATCGTCCTGTTCCGTCAGTAAGGACCCTGTCAACTCTTGCGGGAAATGATAGCCAACAGAGAGTGGCTTGAAAGTTTCACATGCATGCTTCATGCATGCTAGATTGCGTGCATACCTTGATAACGTCCACATGCAGGCCGCTCGCCAGACTACTTTCCACAGCTCTGAGGTCATCATTTCCTAGGTCGAGGTGGCGAATGGCCCGTGAAAGCGGTATTTCATCATACGTACGGCCCATCTGCGGCATGGATAAGAACGGTACTCGGCCGACAAGGTCGCTCCCGAGATACACATAGATGCTGCAAGGTAGCGGAAGGTCAACCCGGTCCACACTGACACCGACGAAAAATTCGCGACTGAAGTTCGGAGCATTCGCAGCATTCGGGGCATTGATAGCAACTGCGACTTTCCCAATCGCAGTTAGACCGCCGTACTGTTTGTTGATTTGTGCGATGACCCTCTTTCCCTGGTTTTGACCGGGCCCTAGCAGACTGAACTCTGGGTATGTGTAACCGAATGCAACAGTGGTTGCCGCCGTTCTCCCTGTATGGAATGTGCTTCCGTCGGCCTTTGTACAGTATGTGAGCTCGTCGCCTCGCCAGAACCGCGTTGGTTGCACTTTGTCATCATGACGCCACACATACCTGGTAGAATGGTTTCAACGGACTGTCCGCTGTGATCGACTCTCCTTTGGCCGTGGCATACAGACCTTGGCTGGTGAAGGGGGCGGTCTGCACAGTCTCGTTATGGATATACGACCACAAGGCGGCCAGTCTGTCGAGGTTCGAGTGGTGGAGCATGCTGGGACATCATACAAGCATGTCAGCACTCGACTCGGCCAGGATAATCGAATATGGGGGGGTGGTCATACAATAACGGGTCGAAAGCGGTCAAGTCCAGATTCGGGAACAATCCGCCAACTAGGTTATGGATCAGATTGTGAGGTTGTTCAAAGCTGGCCCCACCGCCGCTCATGGATGCCATCTGCTCATATGTGGTAGAGGAGGAAAAGGCTCGGTACTGTTGCATATTAGAACGGTCAAGTCTCTCCTCATCCCGCCTGCGCATTGCTCACCACGGAGTCCTTGATCGAGTCGGCGGCTGCGAGCAACTGCCTGTTCACGGCGTCCAGATCTCCTCGCACCGTTTCCGGGCTCATGTTCTCCTGCCCTGGGAACAGGGTCGCGTTCAGCGGATATGTCTGCCACCGGTAACTGTACAAGGGGTTACGCAGAACCAGCTCTCCGTCGGGGCCATTCACCGTGACGTTCTCCTGTCCAAAAGAAGGCGGAAGGCTTGGATCAGACGCCCAGTCCCAATAGGGCAGACGGAACTTTTGTGCGGCTTCATGATAAGCGGGTGCTTGGTCGTCTGTGTATTCCGAAGCCAGTCGTTGAACTTCCTCCCCGAGAACTTGCTAGATTCTATGTTAAAGCTAATCACTGTGTGGCAGTCAGGGATATTTCGACCACTGACCTCGTAAAGAGCAACATATACACGATGCCACGGTATCAGCTGAGGCGACTAACATTCGTGGTTAGCGTCATTGTATCGACTTAAGGGTTGGAGAAATCAAGCACCATATGCGGACAGTACCCTCCCCAGCTTGGACCTTGGCTAGCGACCGGTCCAACGCCATTATAGGGGATATATGGTCTGCCGTGAATGCCTGCGAGAGTCAGGTCACCGTGTTTGACGTCAGGTTCCTCACAACGTCCGACTCACCTGCCAACTGAAAGTAGGATCGCTCATCGCCTTCTGGCCTGCTCTGTAGGGCGTCGAGACCACGGATGAAGAGGTCCCTACCAGATACGATGGATGTGAGAATGACAACCAGAAACGGGATCCACTGGGAATATCTACCACATCGGTCCTCCAGCCTCCATCAGTACTCTTATCTCCAATCGCGAGGGCGGGATGCTTGTGGCTTGGTCGAACCCCGTGGACATTCCGACGACGGGCACGGTTTCAGTCTGTGCGTCCACATATCTCAGGCTCGTGGCAAACGCCCAAAATAGGGTGCACTTGCGGCTTTCAAAAAACATGGTGCATCGGTCGTAAAATCCCTTTACCACTAATAAATTTATACCAGACTGATCAAAAGCCTGCGGAAGAAATGCCAGGTCTTTAATACTTAGGACCAGCAATGTTTTACATGGGAACTAATTTTCCGCATGGCGATGGTGGGTTCACCGTCCGAACCAACATCTTGCTCGTATAGCATGCGCCGAACATTGTTTACTCCGTCACCGGAAGCATTTGGCTGTGGTTGAGCCCAGAGTCATGGATACGATCTCTGCCGGTTGCATGCTATATATCCATTGAGAGCTGAAAGACCATGGCATGTTTGTTCATTCCCAACGCCGAGGGTCTTGCCACGTACAGGGACCCGCGGCATATTACAAGGCGGCCCAAACGGTTGGGAGCAATATCTGGGTTCGCGTCCAAGGGAACCCTGTCCAGAACCTGGCCATCTGGCCATATTACCACAACCAGGCAAAGGCGTATTCGGCATGCTCTGGCACAACATGACAATAGGAGCTAGACCCCTGACCAATTAGCATGTTGTTACTTTCTCTGTTGTTATTCGGTCTTATTCCATGTTGTGAAAGCGAAGCCGAGCATAGAACACACCTTTGCTGCAGTACAGGTGATCGAAGCCAGGAAGAGAATGGCATGACTTGTGCATGCCTTGCGCGTTGCCTCCAATGACTGCTTATTTACGTTGGTTTCACAACCGTCTGCCGGCCACGCTATGGTACAAGAAGAAGAATATTTGCTCTGCGCGGCTACTCGCAGAAGTTTAACTGCAGACCCACGAGGATAAAGTCAAACATGCATGGCCGTTTGTTTCACCACGGATTTTCATCCAACCACCACTTTGAGTACCAACGCATGTTTTATGCTCGAGTGAAGAAGGGGAGAAGGGAACATGAAAGGAATAGTCGCTGTCACCCGCTACCTGTCTGGCATCCCTTCGCAGTGCAGGGGAAGGCCGAGGAACTCCGCTTTCCGGACACACACGTGGTGGCCTTGCGATACGAGACAAGAACACGAGCTGCCAGCGGATGTCCTACCACGAGTATCAAGGCAGACTATGTAAGATGGACAAGAAGGAAGACAAAGATGAAGGACCGATAAACCCAACAGACAGCGTGCTTACTGACCAATTTCCCCCTCTTCTTCCGCGACATAGACGATAAAGCAGCGTTATAACAACTTGGAACTACCTGCAGGTTGGCGCCCCTGCGCCATTTCATCCTGTTCAAACAAACAAGCAAAAACCATGAAAATGATGAGGGCGGCTGGTCTTTTTTCTCAGCTCACTCCTTCTCCTCCCCCTCCCCGCTCGCCTTCGGTGTGGTTATAACCCGAGAGAAAAAGGGTACTGACATGAAGTCGTGTTTCCATGTTTGTTTGAATTACCTGCTTACCACTGTCTTAATACGCAAGGTACACAAACACAAACGTGGCTGGCGTGGCCAAGACAGCAAGCAAGGCTTGTCACGGCAATTGACACTTTGTTTACCGGCTGCCGCATGGTTACTAGCATCTCGATACGCCCGACGTAATACTCGCAATATCTGCCTTTTGTTAAGCACTTTTATTACTCAATAAGGAAGGCATATTCTGTGCCTGTCGCTCGATTCGGTCCGTCATCTATCCATGATGCATCTCGATTCGGTTTGACAAGACATCGACCAGTTACCTTCCTTATCTATGTAGTGTTCTTCATGACAGCTTCTTCTTGAACCTCTCTCAAGACCTAACGCTGGGCCAATCATGACAACAAAACAAAAGCCAACAAATAGTGAGCCACTGCCAGCTAATCCATCCATCCACACAGACTACTGTTGTACAGCAGTACATATCCCCATCTCGCAATAACTAACCCCACTCCCACGGGCATAAAATATTGAAGACACAAAAAGAGATTTTAATGGTCAGTATGGGGGTCGAACCCATGACCTTCGCATGGACCAATGTTATACACTCATGAGTTGCATATAATATTAGTACGACGCTCTAACCAACTGAGCTAACCGACCAGATGTGTCGTGATTGGATGGGTGGAAGACTGGGGCCGGTAAGAGAAATCAAGAGCAGACGGTCTCTTTTGATAGTGGAGAGGATATCGGAACTAGTTCGAGGTCGATAAGATCTCAAGGCTCCAAAAGGAGAAATCACAACTCCAGGGACTCGGAGCTCTTCAAGGGAACAGGCAGACACCCTGTCGAGGACAATCTGGGGATCTTACACTCTTCAACCTTTCAACGTAATGCCCTATGCCGGCCTTCTTTGGTAGAATATCAGCCGGGATAGAATGAACCAAACCAAGAGTTCTTCAAGATTCCTGTCAGTCGCGAAAAAGAACGCCTGGCCACGCTACATCTGTGGTTACCTAGTCTAGCAATACCAAACCAACGTATCTGCAAGTCAGACAGACGGGTGCGACGCAGGACCAGGAAACAAACGCTTGCCCTCACCGTCTGTCGTGTCTTCGCCGGTTACCAACAGGCTCCGCAAACTGCAATAAAGAATGGTGAACCCTAACCCCGTTTCATGGCTTCGTAGATAGATCCCACAAGGAGCAGCCCTCCATGTCCATCAGCTCCCTGTATCCGTCCTCCCACGCCACTGCTTGCTCTGCCGTCGGTCGCGGGAGCGGTCTGCGGGCGTAACCGCCGTAGCCCAGCCACGACTGCAGTCCAGTCGCCCCTCTCGACACGGCTTCTTGCTTGGTCCTGTGCCTCTGTGATACCCTGGCAGCTGTGTCCCCCGATGGCGTGGTGATACAGATTGAAGACTTCGATGCACGTCTTGGGCGCGAGGTTGGCCAGTCCGGCCAGGATGCCGTGGCCCCCTGCCACAAGAGACTGGATGGTGGAAATCTGCAGAGCCTGCGAGGACGAGGAAGTCAGGGGCAGTTGAACTTGTACCGCCAGTATCTTAGCCAGATGGAGGGTTGTTGCTGCTGCTGCTGCTGCTGCTGCCAGTCTTGGTCGCCGTCGTCCGTGTGGCCGAGGCCGATCTGGTTCAGTGTGCCGGTTGTTCCCGCAACGTCAGCTTCACGCCCAAGATACGAGGGTGCTTGCTTCGACAGTGCTATGATGACGTTACGTCCGAGGAGAGGTCGAGGGCCGTTTGACTGCGCCCGGGTAAGTTGTAAATGATGATGGGGATCGTCCGCCACTTGGGTAAAAGTATTCGATAATGGTCTGGGCACGAATAGAGCGGCGTTGTAGTAAGCAGGGCGGCAAACACCAGTGCATAGTCAGTCCCCGCCGGCCAGAGCGGCCCTCGCGACAGAGCTAAGACCGTTTTCACGCGTGCTCTCTGTGCGCTGCGCCGCAGCCCACAATCACGGGCATGTCATGTCATGGTAGCCTTTCGCGGTCGAGCGGCCTTGCGCGTTGTGGAAGTCGCTCGCCATGCGTCAGGTGCACGGCCTCTCCGTTCGATCTCCCTGCGTCACGATCCCCCTTGACGCCTGCCCGTGCGAGTCGGACGATGTGGGGTGGAGATAGTGGTACGTACGGTCAATGTCTTCGGTGTCAGGGTCGAAGAAACACTATAACGCGAGTAGGCATCCAAAGTCAGTAGTATTAAGTCCTGTGACTTGGTGGGAAGACCTGTGATATTAGGCTCTTGTTGTATTTATGTCTCTCCTGTGGGGTTAGAAAAAAGACACTTGAGCTGCTGTAGATAGTCAGGATAGACGATAGTTGAGCATCTTACCAAAGTCGGTAAGTAAACACCCGGCACCAATGGACGACGCCGACGAGTGACATTTCCTTTGTTTCCTTTCAGCATTATCCGAGCTGTGTACAGGACACTACTACTGACCTCGTTCCATGATTTCAGGGATTACGGAGCCATTTGGGGTCAAATAGTCTGTATCCGGGCTGGCAGACATCGCTTTTATCGCACTCCGAAATTCAGTCTACAGGTGAGTTCACTAACCTAAGAAACTGTAAGTCGTGCGCAGGGATTTCAATCACCAGGATTTTGTTGTTATTATCGAAGAATGCCTGTTGTGCGTAGATTACATAGTTATCAGGCGTCGTCTTTTCGATGGCGCAGATATCCTGGTAGACCTGGCCCTGGTATGTGAGGGGTTCTAATCCATGTTCTGTGATGCATGATCTTTATAGAGAGCCACGGGGGGTACGGCGTGGATGGGATGAATCAGCCGCCCTTTCTTTTATTGCAGGTCGTCTGGTTTTAATTAAAGATGAATTATATATATATATATTGCTCTTTTTCTTTCTAATCGTTTCATCCCTCTCTAGGAGAAAACACATTGCTTGAACGCAACCGACGTTCGCCGTGAGCGCGAAAAGAAGAACCAGTCAGGGACGGCAGGGCCTTGCTATGAACACTTCGAACCGTAGGGGTTCGGGGATGAGTAAGTAATTGTACATAGGCCGAAGCCTTTTTTTCGACATACATAAGGTACATACCCTATACGCCTGCACATTGTGGCTGAGTCACGGGAGTTCCAAAAGTCTCCCAAAAATAGGCGAAGCTTGCAGATAACACAGGGAGGCTTTCTGGGCAGATAGATGCAGAAAATCAACACTCCAGATCGGCATGCTAGGGCCTGGGTAAGGTATACGCCCAGCTTGGGCAGAAGCAAGCGAATCAAATAGGTAGGGCCAGAGGCAATATAACTGCGGCCCGTCCCGGATTAAGTAGTCAGGGGTCAGGGGTCAGGGGTTATGAGGCGACAGAAGGATATTTCATAGAGTGTTTTTTTCTATCTATCTATCGACATTGGCCATTAGCGTATACCACATGTTTGAGATGGTGGTATTGCAGTTGAAGTGCAGTAAAGCAGCGCGAGAGGGCACAGGAGTCCACCAGTCGTGGGTGTCTGTCCTCTGGAGTGCAGGTGGTTGGTTCCTAACAGAGGCAGGCGGCCCTATACGTAAGAGGTATGTACATAACCTACCTATCTAATTCTTGCCGAGCAGTTTGCTGCCATGTTGTACGCAATCTCGCAGGAAGTTTGGTACCTACTGTCGATCCCACAAATAACTACTACCCCACAAGTCACATTTCGGCTGCAACAGTCAACCACTGACGCAGTCACCGTGCCTGATCTGATCGTGAATGTCGGTCCCTCGTGGACGGAGACTATTGGTCACATCGTCTGGATAGCTTTTGATAGCATGGAAGCAAGCCACATACTTACTTTAGTCTCCAGTGCTCTAATCTACCTGGTTGCCTGTGCAAAGATTGTATTATACCAACCTACCTGGAAATGTAGACATCGGGTCTCCTTGTTTTTCTTCATCGCTTCGGTCATAATCACGATCGTGGGTGAGGAGCTTGCCTTTTTTTTTTTTTTTTTTTAAACTTGACTAGGTAATCGGGTGATAAACCCGAGTAATCTAATAAATAAGATGGGATTTTGTTGGTGGCTCAGATCACTACTTACGCATGCAAGAGCACCTCAAGGCAGTCTCATATGTCATGAATGATATATTGGACTGAAACGAGCAAAGTGAAGTCCCAGGCCACAGTACAGAACATCAAATGCTGCCCTTTTCACTCGGTAAGGGGTTTTATCCTGATCCCCGCGCATAATCTATCTCCCGTCCATCACATGTGAGAAGCATGGTTTGATGATCATATGAGGTCCGAAGGCGATTTACCGTAGAGATCGAGCCATGAGAAACTAGTTCTTCTGCTCGTTGTCAATGAGTGGCACCAACGGCTCACATGAAAGCAGCACGAGAGCACGTGAGCCGCGGATACTACTTACTCTTGCCCGCCATCATGTATATAAACAGGAGAACACGCCGGTAGGGGAAGCATTGGAACTTGAAGTGTGCTTGATAGGGCAATGATCCTTCGCCAACGCCACTGACACCGCTTTACCCCCCCAAAACAAGTATACATGGAAGTGCATGTGGCGGCGTATACAGAAAAATGTAACGTTGTCTGCATCCGGACCTTCGTGGTTGTAATCCTTCTGCTGTGTCTAAAGGACGTACATCATCCTAAACGACGGAATATGCTGCTTGCATGAAGCAGCTTGGTCCTCGTGCCAGAGTACGTCGTGGAAGGGTCTTCGACTTTCAGACTATTCAATACTGGCTTGGGCTATTCTCAGATTTGTTTTGATTCCTTATGAGACCGGTGTCGATACCATTGGCCTGAAATAGGGATGTACAGATGGCCACGAAACACTGTCCTCTACATCCAGAATATAGAACAAACAGCCTTGGGACTGCTTCACCTGTCACTGTATTCCTCGATTCAAAGGTATTATTACAGCATAGCTGCTGGCTGCACCTGCAGCAGCTCGCCCAACTGGGAAAAATACTGCTTCCGTGTAGCACAATGGTGAGCGGAAAATCAGCAGGGATATCTATTTCAAGTAGCCGATATCTCTATCATATCTGTCGGATATCTGAGAAGCGTAACACAAGATTCCTAATGCGCAAAATAGGAATGAAGCCCGGACAAAGCCGGCATGCCAGAGAAACATGGGGGCGAGAAAAACAGACAGCTAGCTGCCTGGCATGGCGGGATAGGAGGCTTATGTAGTTCAAGCCACCAGGATGATATACATCGGGTTGGCGGAAGATGGGGGAGTCGACCGTTGCTGTTTTTAGATCATGCACCTCCCTCCCGCTTGGCGTACTCGTCCTCCATGGCCTCTTCGTACCGACGGTCGGCCTCGATCTCCGCTTCCGTCTTCTCACGTGTGGTACCCGCGCCGGTGTTGACGCCCGCGCCTGTCGCACTCGAGCTGACGACGTTGCTTGTCTGTGTCTGTGTCTGCTGGGCGGCGGATGAACCGCTGCCTAACCCCAACTCCGAGGCGGGAGCCTGTTCGACCTCGGGATCGTTGGTGAGGAAGGGCATCTTGATAAGTGGAGTGTGGTAGTGGTCTTAGGGTATGTGACAGGTTTGTATGATATCTCAGGAAGAGAGAAATAAGCTTCTTATGGGTTATTGAAGTTGTGTAGGATGGGTTAGGATGTGCTTGTAGAAAAACGAGTCACTTTTCCAGAAGACAAATGGCCCTTTTTGT